AATAATCCACAGCTGTAAAATATTTTTATAGCAGTTTGTTCAAGTTCTGTTCAATCTTTGAATCCCACAGAAACAAAATAGCCATAGCCAGGTTGGTTTCAGGCCTGACATCTTTGTTGTAATAACACATATCTCTAATATATTCAGTCTTATATATTTCTTGCCATATATTATGAATTTAAAAATGGCTTTCATATATTCCCATTTGATCAAGAAAGTACTTCAGTGTTGTCTGATTTGCTCTAATATTTTTGCAGCAGCTCTACCTTCTTCATCTTTCCATTACATGAGTAATACTATTTTTCTTTAAAATAAATAATTCATTCAGATGTAATTAGCTATTCAAAAGTACCTTATTCATAATAATAGTTGAAGTGCCATAAGCAGTTGAAATTTTAATTATAGTATTTCTTAACCTATTTTTGTTTGTGATGAGAGGCAGTCTCTTCCAAACTGAGATTATCCATTTTCTGAATGAATCTTTCGCATTTTGTCTTGCTTTTCAAAAATCTTCAAATTTTTAAATTTGAAAAGTGTTATTTTTCCCTAATTGGTTTTAATTATTTATCTGTATATAGATTAATCTGACCTTTTTCAAACTCATACTTTGCATTCTGCTTTGGCCTAGATTATTTCTACAAGTATTCTGTTGATCAAAAAAATTAGACAAGAGTTAACAATTAAACATTAAAACTGCAACATGCTATATATTTCATTTTAAGACAGATAGCATCAGATTACAAAATCTGGAAAAATATCTGCTGGGCGTCATCAGAATTGAGAGATTAAAAGGCAACATTCCAAAAATATTCCATTGCAAACCCTTCAGCAGCCAAATAATCTGAAAGCCTAGAGTGAAATGTGGAATCTCTATAGATCTCTATACATGTGGAATCTCTGTTGACCACTGCAACTCTTTATCCTCTACTTCCAATATTAACGCACACCAAATTTTTAAAGGGGCATAGTTGGGGTAGAGGACCATCTAATTGTGGAAAGATACTTTTAAATAAATATTTGTCTTTTTCCTAAGATGGTCTTTTAATTTCTAATGCTATACTCCCCCCTCTCCTGGTGCACTAAAAAGGACAGACACTTCCTTCCCAGAATAACAAGTCAAGATCTCCAATTGAAAACATTAGAAAAGAAAACAGATGGTAAGAGAGTTCAGACAGACATGACAGACATTATTCCCATATTCAATATCAGTTCTCTTAATAATGTGTTTCATACATCTTGCCTTACTTCTTTGAGACTTGTGTATGGATGAGAAAAAGGAGTTTCCGGGGGATACCTTTTGCTTGTCTAAAGATTTTAAATTTTTAACTTGTCATTGCCCCACCTTTAATAAAATAACAAGAATAATTGAAATAATTTATCAAAATTATTTTATCAGAGACTTTGTATTGATTACAGCCAAGACTGAATCTCATTCACAGGGCCGAAACTAAATGTTTTCATAAGATTATCACAGCTTTCATTGCTTGCTATTTAATATTTTATCCGTGTCTGCTTTGTAGGGTTTTTTACACATATTCTGTTGGATGAAGCTGCACAGGCAATGGAGTGTGAGACTATTATGCCTTTAGCACTAGCAAATAAAAATACAAGAATTGTCTTGGCTGGAGACCATATGCAGGTAATGATGTCTATTTCTGAACTTATCCCACTTTTTTAAAAAAACAACATCTAGCTCTGTTTGCAAGTTATAAAGTGTAGAAGAACGATTACTTCAAGAATTATTTTGGTGTAGGATTTAAGAGAATGAAACATAAATCAAGAAATGTTTAGCTTAAAATCCTGCCATAAGTTTTTAGTTCAAACTCTACTAAAAGCAATTGACAGGAATATAGTGACTTGTTAGACTCACTAAAACCTGTGTCTGTATTTAGATAAGGTAGGATAATATTCTATAAGTGTCAGAAGGAATACAGTGGTGATACATATTTTAACAGAAGGTTGAAACCCAAGCATTAAAATCTGGATCCAAGTGTGGAATCCATATTTGTGATTCTGTATGGACATTCTCAATCATCCAGATCATGATTGTCCCAAATATGCTTTTTTCAAAAGGCAATTGGACTTTGTTTTTCTTTGAAAATGTTTCACTTCTCATCCAGGAAACTTCTTCAGTTCTTTGGAAGCTTCTTGAATGAGAAGTGAACATCTTAAAGAAAAAACAAAGTCTAGTTGCCTTTTGGGGGGAAAAAAAACACCTTTGGGATGACTTACATGGTCGTGAATATCTTATCCAGATTGTAAGAGTTGCTGGATCCAAACTGGGTTGGTCACTGGGGCCTAAGGTTTAGTCTTCTTAGTCTCCCAAGGGCTCCAGAAGACTAAACCTCTGATCGCAGTGACCAATCCAGATTGGATCCTGTAACATTATACTAGGATCCATATATTTACCTTCATTTGTGAGACTGTCTTTTTTTCATCCTAATCAGTCCCATAGAAATAAATCTTTTTAAAATAAAATATTTGTTGCTTAACATTAATAATAAAGGCTAGAGATAGATAAATGATTGATTGATTGATTGATTGATAGAAAGAAAGATAGATAGATAGATCGATAGATGTAAATATTAAAATCTGTATTTCCCTTTAAAAAAAAGAACATAAATTACTCTTTCACCCAAAGGAAGGCTGGCCCAATGAAGGAGATTATATAAAAGAATAAAAAGTTTTAAAAGATATAAATGCAAATGTGAATTCAGCATTTTATGTTCTCTTCGTTGATTAATTACTTAATAGAAGGTTTAGGGGTAGCCAGTGGTCTGGTGGGAAATGGGCAGATTCCATTTTAAGTACAGGCATTTTCTGACTTTCCAATGATTTCCTTATAAACTATTTTCTTCCTTAACTCTACTCACAATCTGAATCATGCTTGTTTACCCACAGCTTCTGTTATCCCACTGCTATTGTGGCAAGTGGCAACCAGTTCAGGTCTTTCAGTTCAGCGTTATGTAATCCCTTTTATTGCATAGGTTAGTAATCCCATGAATATTTTGCATCAACTGCAAATTCCAGAAACATTTCAAGGATGACCTTGAATGCACCATCTTGCATTAGTCAACATGGCATGTAATTAACGTGGTTGAACATCCTGAGTCCAGTCAGTTTAGGAAGAGGCATAGCTGACACACTAGATATAATTGTGGAAAAGGCAGGCATTCTACCAATTTAGCAACTGTGAATTAGTGACGGTTGTGAATTAAGCACCACTCCCCGACATCAATCCTTCTTTAGCATGGGAAAATACATATCTCACATATATGGCATTGATTTATCTCCCAATGGAACAGTCCTACGTGCAGCAATGTCATTAACCCTGCTTACTACATACTCATCCTTCCTGGCTGATAAAATCCTTGAGATCTGCAAGTTGAAATTTTTATGGACAGTAGTGTGATCTTGGCCCATAGCAAAATCTCTCCATATTATGCAAGAAATAAAATCTATTAACTGCTTTGGTCTCAGAATCACATAGAGAAAATACTGTAATACAGTTATTAAGCTAAAAAGTGATAGTCAAAACTGAAATCACTACCTAAAAGAAAAGAGGATTTGATAAAGACCTGATCTACAAAAAGTAACAGAAGAGAAAATATGGATAATAATTTTTAAAAATCTTTAAAAACAGAAAAAGCAGTATATGTAAACAACAGCAGAAGCTTAGAATTGGTCCCTTTTTGTGATCTTGAATGGAGCAAGAAGCAGTTTAGCTACCATGAAAAAAGAAGCGTCACAGAAGAATAGATCATAATTATTTCAGTGAAAGTTAGAGAGAAAGTACTGGGAATAAGACCTTTATCGCATTTACAATGACAGTAAATGACAGTAAAACACAGTAGAAAATTTAAAAACAAAAGGCTTTTAGAGCTGTTAAAGCATTTATTTTAGACTGGGAAAAGTTCAGAGAAATACTTTGAGCTAAAAAGCATACAGATCAGTACTAGAGGCGAAGAAAAAGAAAAAGAAAGGCAGAACGAAAATCCCAAGTGTCTGTGCGAGGAAAAACTTCTAGATGAAGAGGAGGCAATTATATCTCAAAATAGATGTACTTGGCATGATTATCTGTATATCTAATCAATGACATCTAAATTGACTAGAAATTTTTTACTACGTTCATTTGATTACCAGTTTGTGCATGTGGTGAAGTTTGTACAATAATTAAGTTGTTGGTCTCGGAGCAGGTTCTTGCCACCCTCAACCATGAAAACTTACTTGATTAATTTCAACCAGTTACTTCCTCTCAGTCCAACTTATTTAATGAGGTTGTTATGGGAGGACTGTGTTTGCTACCTTGAGCACCTGAAAAAAGCTTTGTTGTCGTTTTGATGAATAAAGAAATAAATACACTCAAGTTTATGAAAGTTTATAACATCCTTCCCCCATAGGCACTATATAATTCTTTTATTTGGTGTTTTTTTTAGCAAATGTAGGCTTAGAAACATATTGCTTCGCTTCAACAGAGTTTTCGTGTGTGTGTGTGTGTGTGAAAACTGCTGAACACACACACACATACACACAATTAAATGGAGATGACTTAATATGGTGTTATCATTTTTCTTCCTCACTGTACATAAATTTAATACCATTTTTACAGGTTGGTCATTAGTTTCCTGTTGAGATAACATTCTAAACAAATATTCAGTTATAAAATAATATCTTTCTTTTGATTTTTTTCTCGATTACAGCTTAGTCCTTTTGTGTACAGCGAATTTGCCAGAGAGAGAAATCTTCATGTTTCATTGCTTGATCGTCTTTATGAACATTGCCCTGCAGAATTTCCATGCAGGATCTTGCTCTGTGAGAACTATCGCTCCCATGAAGCTATCATCAAGTAGGTGTGAACTTTTTCACTGTATCACACTCTGCTTGGCTGGTGCAAGTGTCTAACAGAAGCTTTTGGCATTACACTCCAAAATAGTTGAAAAGAGATTAGCATAATAAGGTTACTGTTTTTTTTTTTAAATATAGGAAATAAGTAAGAATACTGCATTATTTTGAGATTTAGAAGAATGGCCTACTTGGGCTTTTTAATTGTGGTTTATGCCACCATAGCCTGTAATTTGTTGTAATACTAAAGCTGATCTTTCTCCAGTATTACACAAGCAGACCTTTATTTTTACAGTGAAACTTGGCTTTGCTGTCCTTACACTAAAAATATTGAATAGAGTTTGTGTGACATTGCATGGACCAAATGCAAAACAATGTTTTGCAGTGTGTAAGCTGGAAATGCATAAAATTTGTACTTCCACTTGTATTTCAAGTTCTTTTGCAATGTAAAAATGTTAATTCTTGCTAGAACAAGTACAGTAGAACCACTTGATTACGTGTAACAGCAGAATAGCCAAATTGGTTAGATAATTTTCAAGTATGTGGACTTTTTTGCTAGATTGAAGGCTGCTATTGCATGCTGACCTCAATACTTGTTCAATTTGATGTGATTTAGTTGAGAAGCAGGATCTTGACTGTGCACTTTGTATAAACTGGTAAAACAAGGCAATGTGAAAGCAGTCTTTTAACAAGTCAGTTCTTGGGGTCTTGAATCTAAACTGACGTTTGAAATGGTGCTCATGGTCTAGGAATAGAGACATTGACGCAGGAAATAGGCAAATGAGAGAAAATACCGATGGTGGTGAATATCTGTAGCTCAGGTGTAGGATGAGGGTGAAGGTTTATTCTCCGAGCTTGTGGGTTGGTTTCTGAACATTTCATTACCAGGCTAGGTAACATCTTCAGCAGAGTTTAATCTCTATCCACATCAACACCAAACAATACTACTTCAATTGGAGCAACACAAAAAATCATCGGCCATGTTACCACCTGCCACACTGGTGAGTTCAGCAAAGCCTGGCACACCATAAGCAATTCCATCAACAGATACATTGACCTACAACCAGCCTACAAACTCCTCAGAATCCAAATCAACCCCCAGCCAACCAGAAACAGCACCGACCCTCAACCAACCCATGCAACACCCCCCTACACACACCAGCAGTTCATCTCCCAACAATCCCTGACCTGATGCAGTCTCCTTATCACAAGATCCATCACAAGACTCGCTGATGACTCACCGCTGACACATCTCTAGACCCTCACTTGACACCCCCACACCTGAAGCCCTTATAAACAAAGGAACTTTGACATCCATCCCCTAAACTCCACTGAAGATGTTACTTAGCCTGGTGATGAAACGTTCAGAAACCAACCCACAAGCTTGGAGAACAAACCTTCACCCTCAAAATATAGTTGCTCAAATAAAATCGCAACATTTGTTGGTTAACTTTTCTGTGTAAAATTGGCAGAAAAATGTTACATAAATTGCATCAAGAGACATCATGGATGCATTTTAAAGATAGGATCTTTGTGTCTATGCAGGTTTTCACATGCAACTTCAGAGAGTCACTACTGCTGATGTTGCACCACCATTATTATTATTAAATAACAGCATGTAAATAAGAATTACATCTTGATGGCTAAATTAGAGGAGGATCTCCCCGCCCGTTCATAGGAAAGGAGAATTTCATGTTTCACCTTGTACTTCTGTTCTGAAAGATTTTTAGGAAAGCTCTATTAACATAAAATTTCCTAAATGGTCTGAGAAATATAATTAGGCATACAGTATATTATACTACCCTGAATAAATAAGTTTTTCCCCCTTAAAAGTGATTTTAAAAATGAACGCTTGGGTATTAAAGATTCATTATTTGAGCAAGCACCGAGCATGTGAAAAAAAAATGCATATAGATTATTTTCTGTGAGATTTTTTAACATATGTAAGCTGTCATTTGCATTGTAACAAATAGTCCCAAATACTTGCTTATAAAATGTTACCCTTTCCTATTCTCATCTTGGTGTTCTCCAGAAATGTTAGAGTATACTTCCTAGCTACTGAGCAGGATGATGGCGAAATCTAGGAGTGGTGATCTCAATGCCTCTGTAGAGTATCAGATTGAAAAAGACAGAATTAATCTAAACATAATTAAATTTCAGAATGATGCTAAAATCAGCATATGCACTGAGGCATTCATTCACAGCTTCTGTGCATTGCTATGTATTTACATAAAACATACTGAAGTTGTAAAACTATGTCTGATTCACAGGTCAAAGCAATAACAAACAGAATGTTTACATAACGGTTCTCTTTGGCCTGAATATTGCTGATTCCTGCCTATCCAGCTTCAGCCCTTATACAATATTTCTACATTCCCTTTTTTGTTTTGTTTCTCTCCATTGCAGTTATACTTCTGAGCTTTTCTATGAGGGCAAATTGATGGCCAGTGGAAAACAGCCTGCACACAAAGATTTTTATCCTCTGACATTCTTCACAGCACGAGGAGAAGATGTGCAAGAAAAAAACAGCACTGCTTTTTACAATAATGCAGAGGTAGTTGACTTGACTTCAATTAATTGCTATTGATATATGTATGTATGTATGTATATACGTACATATGTATTGTATGTTATGTTTTCATGGGTATTTATATGTATGGTCCTTAGGTTTCTTCGGGTATTTTCCCACGTCTTAATATTTGTGCTTTTATTATAGCGACATTTCGGGAGAATCTCATCTGCCATCCTCAGGCTTGCGTATTGGGATCTTTTTAATCACACAAGATTAAAAAGAACCCAATACACAAGCCTGAGGATGGCAGATGAGATTCTACCAAAAACATAGTCGTAGATTTTCACAGGTGTGAGTATGCAGGTTTTGGCGTGTTCGGGTCTTTTCCCGTGTTAAGATTGAGAGTATCTTGGTGACGTTTCAACGAGGTCCCACTTGCCCTCTTCAAGCTGGTGCTTTCGGCTTTGTGCTTGTGCGAGCAAAGAATGATCGGAGCTGCTGTCTCTCTATAAATACTGGTGGGGAGGTGTGGTGTGCTGGCTCTGTTGTAAAAGGGGTTGGTTGGCTTTTTTTCCATATAAAAGTCAAATACCTTGCAAACAGTATAAATACTTTATTTGAGAAGGCTTTTGACATTAATCCCAAAATTGTATGAAATTAAGCCAGGGACCACAGGTTGCTAGTCTGTGAGTTAGAACAGTTTTATCAAAACATGAAAAGGTTATCTCTAGAATGCCACACCCGTTAATTATTTCTTTCTCCATCTTTCATTTAAGCTGAAACAGCCTCTTTTTAAATACTTCTTAATTTCACATTTTGAAATATGGGGAGTGTTAGGCTGTTTAAAGTCAAAATGAACAGGGGACTAATTCTCTCCCAAATGAATTCTGGTCTTGGGAACAGCTTGCCTAATGCAGTGTTTCTCAACCTTAATATTTGCACCAGTTTTCCTATTTATAGTCTTTTAACTGCTTTGCAAGCTGCCTCATGAGCTCTCTTACCATAAATATGCCTGAGAGCAATTCAGGAATAACAGAGAGAGAGAAGAAGAGATAAAAAAGATTATTTCTTTCTTGTAAGATCATTTTAGCAGCTATATTAACCCTCCCAATATGGGCATCCTCCAGACACGTAGACAAAGTTCAGAAATTCAGCAATGGTTCTTCTCACAGAAGTCTACATATTTGGAAAGTGTCCAAGTGGTGAATCTGAGGAATAGCATGGAAAAGGGAACCTGTTTGGTGTTTAAATTTTCAATATATTTACAGCGCTAGTAGCTATGTCTCAAAGTATGCTTTTATGAAATTATTTGAGAATTTAAATTTTAGTGTTCTATCTTCCAGAAAAAGACAGGTGTTTTCTTCCTGCAGCTGTTGCAATATTGGCAAAATTAAAACCTTTTTTCCATTACTATTATTATAGAAAGAGAGAATGAAAAAATAATGATTAGATCTAAATTATCTTAGTAAATGTTTAGGTTCTGGACATTCCATATGTAGTTCCTTTATTTGTAGATAGAACTGATTCACCAAGGTTCTTATATGGCTTTAAAAGATATATTCATCCATAATAAGACAGTGTGAAAGGACATTTATATACAGTACTTTGGCTTCTTTATTATTATTTCTTGTTATATTCCTAGAATATTTGTACCAGTGTAATATTAGCTTGTCCATAGGAGCAAACAAATCTAATTTCCATTTAATTTAGTGAGTTTGTATTCTCAGAATAAATCCTGGGGAAGCGTTTAGTGAGCTGCTATAACATCAGTACCAGTACATCTTCTCTCACTCTTCATTAAAATTACTCCTTTTATGAGTCTGAAAAAGAGACAACAAACCCCGGTCCACGTGATCTTGGATTCCAGCCCTCAAGGTGTTCTGAGAGAAATGGTATAATGTGTTTCTCCATAAAAGGAGAGAAACAAAACAGTTGATTTTCTATTCTCCTTTGTTTAACTCCTGATTATGTGCTGTGAACTAGACTATGAAGTCGGGAAAAGTCCTGAGAGAAAAGAGGGGTGGACCACTTATATAGTGGTGTCAAGAAAACTGCATGATGAAGTCATCAGGAATTATATTTGAAGATGTCTGCATCTTTTATGTGCTTTCAATTCCTTCTTGTGCCTCTTTTTGTTCATTATGACACACTAGTCACAACAGATGATTATTGAAATTTGTGATTATCACAGGTTAAATAGCTGTGCTCTGAATATTTTCTTCATTCAGAGCGGAGCTGTTTAACTTGTGATAAAACAATCCAGTGATAAAATGATTTGCTCTGATTTAATGATCCTATGGGGGGGGGGGGTTTGCACAAAAATTGGAATCAAAGTTTTATGTATTTTGAAATTGGTTTTCATCAGAAGAGAAGACTTCAACTAAAAGACTAAGGGAAAGTCTGGCAATGCTGAACTTAACAGTTGATATATTCCTTTTTTGTCTGATATCAGACAAAATCAATTCACTTTTCCATTATTATTGTTGCTGCTGCTGCTGCTGCTGCTGCTGCTGTTATTATTATGTAGCTTGTCACACAGCTAATCAGATATTTAGACTGGATTTGGCATTTTTATCCAACTACAGGTGTCCTCAACTTACAACAGTTTGTCTAGTGACCATTAAAAATTATAACAGCACTGAAAAAAATGACTTATGACTGT